TATGTGAATAGACGATGAGAATAGATGCGTACGTTTGTATATGGATTAATGGTTATATGCTACATTGAGCTGAGCATTTTTTCTTGAGACACGATTAAGCATCTTCTTACCGCCTTTGTACTTTTCTTTTTTTTACTTTTATAGACTCCATCCAATCGTATCTATCAGTATGGAGTTAAAGAAGCGAATGATTTAAGAGTAATTAATACTCGCGGTATTGATCAAGGTGATTTTAGTTATTCAGAAAAAGTAAAAACTTTACAAATCTTTGAATTTATTTTTATTAATCTTCTTTTCTTTTTTGTTTTTTTTAGGTTGAACGATATTTAACACATTTAAATCATGGTATTATTGGTATTGATACGACATATTCAGATGAAGGTGTTTATGGTTCATCGGATATATCATCAGATCAAATTCAACAATTTAATATACGACCACCATCAATTATATCAATGCCATCATCACAACAACATTATCAAGATAGTTTAAAACGTTTTGAACAATTATATTCACTTGTTGAACATCGTCAACAAACAGCATTTACATCTGATAGTCTTTATGTATAAAAAACAGAACAAAACTTGTTGATTTGTATTTGTGTGTCTTTTGTACCACGATTTTTTTTTTCTAGAAAAATAATATACACATTGTTGTTATAAATTTGTGTTTTTTTAAATCAATTCAAGTGACTATCCTACTGTGATTTAGAGTATGATCCATATCAGTAGGTGGTCATTGTTATAATACGAAATAAATGAGGATAGATTAAGCAAGACAAGTGTGAAAACAAATAGATGACTATTGAATAAATGCATGTCTAATCGTGTTCTCATCTATTCTTGTTTTTGTTTTTCAGAATGAAGGATTGTAATAATGTAAAAGGAGGAGATTTAGAATAGAGACAAAAAAAACGATTTATTGTTAAAGATCAACTTGAAATTAACATTTCATTGCTGAACGTTTTATTTTTCTCTTTTTTTTTTATTTTTAATCAATATTTGATACTCGTCGATCAATAGTGACGATGTATTGTAAATGTTAAATGAAATGCAAATAATCACCTAGAAGAAGTGTGAACAATTTTATACATATTATATTGAACACAATTTTAATTGGATCATATCATCATCATGACATTTATAATAAAATAGTCATAAAAATTCGTCGAAAATAAAATATCGAATAGTATGAATATAAAAACATGTTAATTGATGCTTTCTGTTTTTTTTTTTTGTGAACGATAATAAAAGAATTATATCTTAAGTTTGATATTGGTTTCAAAAGAAATAAATTAATAGGAAATGACTGATTGCTAACAAATTTGTTAAGTCTCGTCAAAAAATCAATCTTGACTTTAATATATACAAATCGAATAAAATTTTCAGAATAGGTTAGAGTTGCAGTGGAGTTTATATCATGAGATTTTTAATAGACAAACCTCAAAAAATAGTTTATTTTTGACAATCGAAAATTTTTTTTTCGACCTTCATTCTATATATTTGATTATTATTTTATTTGTAAGAGTATGTTAGGATTTAGGGCTTGAAAGAGCCATTTTTCTGAAATTCTTACTATTTTTGGGAATAAAATTTTATTTTCTCATAAAAAATGGCAAACAAATGATAAAAATATTCTTTTATATAATAGTAAAATAGCTTAATTCAAAGAATGGGCTCTTTCAATTAGAAAATTTTGTAGGAAGGTCGAAAGTTTAATGACTGGCGAACAATAGATTATTTCATTGATCTTTGACAAAGATATAACTTTGAAGTTGATTGAGCGATGCACTTAATAACAGTATACCGTTATCTAATATATTTAGAAGTGATATTCATTGCAATTCAAGTTTGATGCTAATCATGGATGCTCGACTGTCGTTTTTGTAGAAAGTAATGAGTACGATCTCTTAGTATTTTCTTAATATCTCTACTATTTGTTATCATTTTGGACTAAATTTTTTCAAAAAATGCTGTAAGTCGTTTTATATTGAGACAATAGATTTCTGTTCAATAGTTGTTAAAGTAGTCTTATTCTTCGTGTGTGATGTTAATTCGAGCACATTTCCTCATGCCTGAAATAGTGTTTGAAAGTGTTTTAAATATTATTTATTAGCCAAAAACAAATAGAAAATGATGTTGCAAATTCGTTATTGAAAGTTGTTAACAATATATAGTCACAGTAATTGTCAGATAATTTATTTTGCTTCTAACCTTTTAGCATATGGCAATGGGTATAAATAGATGATGTTCACGCGGATAAGGATATGAATGGGGCTGTGTTGATAGCGGTGTATCATATCGGAGTCGGTATGTGGAGGATTCGATGTGTGTTTTGGTATGGTATGTGAATGTGGCGATAGGTAGATATGGATTTGATTGTGGGTGTATGAGTATGAGTTATAATTATTTGAATAGTACTGACATTGACACACATAACCACATTCAAACCTTCGTGATGAATGTTACTTGTTTAATTTATAGTCTACTTCAAAAAAATATCATTCACATGTACATTCTATGTACTCGTATTTACATTGTCTCGATGCTATGAAAATTTGGTATTCTGAACCTTTACCCATATTCAGAGCGATCAAAACAGATAGCGATTAGGGCTTATTCTCAGTGAACAAACGTAAACCTTACGGTGATGAACAGTATATACAGATGGTAAATCGTGTGTATTTACGACATTTGATCGAACGCAGAAATACAGTTGATATTTTGATTATAGGATGAACAGTCGTATACAATCCGTTTAGTACACATTATGGCTATTTGAATCAACCTTTAGAGTATCTCTAAATGGACTGTGCTTGCATCATTTTCATACTATTAACGATGTGACATATGCCATAAATCAGGGATTCATAGATTGGCGTTACATTATGAGTACAGTGATGTTCATCTCATCAATTATAGTTATAGGGTACTATTTGATATCCGAGTGCATTATATGCGGTCGTTTGGATCTGAGAGACTGATGAGATAGTAGACATCATTGCTCATGCCTTCGTGTGTTGCAGACTTTTGTCTCGTTTTATTTTACCAATGAATTTCATAACGAGTAATTAATGTCTTTCATGTTTTTGTAGCACTTCTTAAGTAGATAATCGACGAGTAGATGGCGTTTACATAGTTATCCAAAAACACATGATAATCAAATTTTTGACGCGATGTTATTTGCACTTATTCAAGAAGAACGAAAAAGAAATTCCAAAGTTATGAATATCCATATTTTACTATGCGACGTATCAAATTCAACAAACACAAAGTAACTGTAGTTGTGACCATGACACTTTCATAATTTATGATTATATTACATTATTTTGTCTAAATAAGTAATTGCACAATCATCAGACACTTATCACACAAAAACTATTACAAATTTACATAAACGAAAAAAACAAAATCTTCACTAAGTACACCACATAGTCAACATACAGTTCAAGATTCAAAATATCACAAAAATTTTCATTTATGGCGACCAATAATGTTTCGACTCTTCTTACATCACCGATAGAACTCGCCTACTGAACTCTTGATCTTTTTGTTGAATTCAATATTCTTTACTCGACGTGAAATATTTATGCTCAAATGAATGATATTTTCGACAGCTATTATCGATATCTGGTAACATACCATTATGTCCCAAAAATTTAACTTTCATCATCTTTAACACATTAATTAATATATACCTAAGATATCAATCTATATGTTGTCTCACTAGAGTATTTTCCTTGGCTAATCATCGATTACTAGATCGAACTGAATAAACTTGACGATTTGTTGAAAATTACTGGTTCTTTAAGCTCTAATCAAAAATTGTTATTGACTACTGACAACATATGAAGTTAACTAAGAAACGCAACTAGTAATAACCCAACATACACGAAAACGACCATCATTTGTTAAGATGATGATGCCTTATAGAATCTAAAGCAAGTCATGTTTACAAACTACATTTTCAAAGACCATCATTGAAATCGAAATAACGAAACGACTGCTAAAATTGATTTTTCAAGAAATAGTGCCTTTATAACAATATTGCGTAACTACTATAACATGATATATCTTTGAGCCATTTTTCCATTGCTTAATTAGCACTGGGAAGCAGCAATTTTATTTCAACTGCCATCGAAATTTTCTTTCAATTTGTACAACTTACAATGGGCACTCCACAGGTGTCTTCTCTGGGATTTCAATGAATTTTGGACTAAAAACATAACATATTGTCTCAGTGGAAACTATCAAAGGATTTAGGTGCATAGTGAAATTCGGCTAAGCTATTGAACTTTTAATATGCTTATTTTCTAGAGATGGGCATTAAGTGTCAGTGGGCTGGTTGTATGAAAAGTATGATTGTGAGTGAGGGTGTATGACAGTCATTGCGTTTTGTATAGATTTAGATGTAATTGGTTGAATATATGAAGAGACAAATCACATGATCACGCAGATCAATACTCAACTGCATGTATAGATTTGATATTAGTATCGATTGAATGTGTAAACCAGTAAGTTATAGAGAAAGAGTTGAACATTCAGTCAAGGGTTAAGCGAGAGTCGCAACAATGAGCGTGATACTTGTTACGTCATTCAGTAGATTGTAGGAGACAGTTTGTTTTCATCCAAAAGATGTCGCAATCGAACGTTTGATAACATCATGATGTCCTCTATTGTTTCGTAAAATACTTTTTAAAAAAAAGAAATAAGTGTTAAAAAAAAATACTTCTTTGAAAAAAACTAAAATAAAGTTCTAAATTCTCTTGAAAAATGTGTAATGTTTACTTTTTTTCTAAAAATCGTCGGAAATTGAGGCAATGTATCATCAAATATGGCAATTAAATCTTCAATTTGATAATAAATTCCTTTCTTCTATGTATACGTATATTCTTCGAGTAACGTTCGTTTTGTAATTATCAAATCGAGTACTTGTTTGAGTAGAATTAGTATTCTGTGTTTTTTTTTTCGTGTCTATAATTATCATCTGTTCACGGTCTAATGAGACCAGGTATGATACATTGCGAAACGATATATATCCCATAGAACAGTTAGTTTGATTCTATTTTTTTTTATATGTACTAATTATATAGGCCTGCGCCATCCACTGCCGGTTCCACCACTTCGACCACCCCAGCGTCTCATGCCGGCACCGAATGATGGCGGTGTTTTTTTCGGGGTAATGCCATGCATAACAAATTAATATTTTCTTTTTTGTTGCTCTCTCTACTTCATTAAATAAATCTTCTAAAATACAAAACAATTTATTTATTTCTTCTAGGGTCGTGATTACGTTCGTCGACAACAACAACAACAACAACCGCCACCACAACAAAATTATCCACCACAAAAACCATTATTACCACCAGGTACACCACCACATCAATGGCAAAATAATCCAAATTATCGTCCTGGTCCTTTACCATTACTACGTCCTAATGGTCCATGGCATCCACATGGTAATACATATCATTCACCATCGCCTCCACCATTATTGCCACCTCATCATCCGCAATTCAATCCAAATTCTCAAACTCCAATAACTTATGTACCACCAAATTCTACAACATATGAATTAATGCGTATTGCTAATGCTGATCAAATTCCATTTCTTGAACCACATGAAGATGAAGATAAACTTGTTCGACAACATCTTTCATCAAATAGTAATAATGATGAATCTCTTATAATAAATACATTATCACCATCAAAAACACATAAACGTCGTCGACAACAACAACAACAACAACAACATGAAAATAATCGAAATATGATTTCTTATCAAGATCTTGATCGTCCAGATGAACAACGTGATCCATCATTTGATAATCGTCTTGTACCAAAACCAAATAAAACAAATCATTTACCATCGGATAAAACAAATAATCAAATACCAATAAAATTTTCTAAAGATAAAGATCATGCACTTAAATTAGAACTTGATCGTATTAAAAAAGCAGGTGCACAAGAAAGAGAAAAATTACGAGCACAAAGACAAGCAGCTGCTGAAAAAGAAAAAGAAGCACAAATGAAAAGAAACAGTGGTAAATAGTTATATTGATTTTTTTTTGTTTGTTTTCAAGAAATTAATTTTTCAATTCTTCTAGCAAAAACCGGTGATAATGATAAACGTGAAGATGGTGAACTTGGTGATAGTTCAGATGATGAAAATATAAAATTAACATCACCAATTGAACCAAAACGTTTAAAAAAAATTGTTGATAATCTTGCTTTAAATCCATCAAAATCAACAATATTATTTCGTTCAAAAACACCACCATCAGAAAGTATTATTGATATGAGTGTTATGAAATTAATACGTCCTATTAAATTATTTCATCTTGATGATGATAATAATAATTCATATCGTGAATATTTAACAACAAATTTTGGTCGTGTACGTGTTCATTGTCATAAACCACAACCAAATTTTTTTTCAAATGTTAGTTGTATTGAAGAAATAAAACGTCGTTTACGTTTAAATAATAATATATCATCATCATTATTATATCGTCATTTAATTGATGATAATGATCAAGATTATTTAACAACATTACAAACACATGTTGAAACTGAAGATGGAGAAATTGAAAGTGATGATGAAAATACAATAGATTTAAATGGTAAATTAACTAAACATATGTTATCCGATGATGATAATGATAAACAAATAAGAAAAAAAACAAAATTAAATGATGATGGATTAAAAGATATAACAAAATCATCCTTAAATGAAAAACCTTGGTAAATTTTATTAGAAAAACAAAATGTTAATCTTTTTTTTTTTTTTGTCCTAATTATAGGATGACAAATGAACTTCGACAATTAATAAAACAAAGAAATAAATTACAAGCACAAATACTTAATGGTGAAACAAATGCTGAAATTGAAAAAAAATTTAAAAAAATGAGAAATAAAATAAGTAAACATGCTAAAACACTTAAAGGTAAATATATATATATATTTTTAGAATATTTTTTTTTATTAATTCAATTTGTTCATTTCATTTTTAGCTAAATATGAAAATTCTATATCAAACTCTTCAGAACCATCTTTAGCACCGTCATCTACATCTCAACAACAATCATCATCAACAACAACATCATCATCATCATCTGCAACTTCAGCAGCAGCAGCTAATCATCCATTATCAACAATACTTGATCCAGCTCTTGTTATGGCAATGCTTGTTAATCCAAGTCTTTATTCTCATGTTCAACAACAAGTACTTTCAAATCCAAATTTTATGCAAGCTTATCAACATATATTTGCTGAAGGAAATCAAACAACATCATCGAATTCAACAAATTCTCTTCCGCCAAAAGTTGCAAGTGAAACACAAGTTGTTCCATCAACAACAACGGTTGATGGTTTAAATAAACAAGGAACAACAACATCGAAAGCAACTAAAGAACAACAACAACAACAACAACAAAATATTTCATCAACAAGATTTCGTCCAGTGTTAACACAAGCAACAAAACCAATACAATTAAGTTCACTTGAATCTGATTATGATAATGAACAACGAAATAAATCTAAAACACGTTTGACATCATCCGATACACCATTAACTGAAAGTCAACAACAAGATATTGCTTTAACACAAGAATTAATTCGTCGTCAATTAGCATTAACACAACAACAACGGAATCAACGTAATCCTCATTCAACTAGTCAATTATCATTATCAACACCGTTAAGTCGTCATATACCATTAACAACTGAACAAATGCAAGAAATTTTAACACGTGCAAAAAATTATGTTACAAGACAACAAAGTGATGAAATCACAGATTCATCTAATAATCAACCACGTTTATCATATAATACTCGACGTTTACAAGCTGCACTTGCTGCATCAGCTTCATCAGCTACACCACAAACAGCACATACTATTGGACAAGCTGCTGCTGCTGCTATTGCTGCTGTATCTGCTCGACCATCATCATCATCATCATCATCATTATCATCATCAACAACAACAACAGCACCAACAACAACCACAACAATAACATCAACATCTGCATCAATAACAATACCAAAAACAACACCATCATCATCATCATCATCAGTATCAAATTCACTTGTTACACCAATCACACCAATGCCACCATCATCTCAACAACATCCTATTCGTATTCAACTCGATCAAAAATCGAAAACACTTTCATCAATTAGTAATAATCAATCATTACCTATACCAACAATTAATCAACAAAAAATTATGCCTTTAGTCGATATTAATCCTTCACCACCTCCACATATGTATCCACCACCATCAAATTGGCAGCGTCCTCCTCATCTACCTGTACAACATTATCCAATGCCACCACATCAACAACAATATCCACCATATGATAATCCTCATACACCACCTTATTATGGTCCACGAACAAATTATCCGCCGGATATGCGTCCACCGCCGCCACCACCACCAGCATCATATGGTCCTCTTCCACCACGACATCTTTCTCAACCGCCAAGATTTAATGGACCATTACCTCCACCTGGACCATATGGTTATGGTCATCCACCACAGAACTATGGACCACCACCACCTCACCCTCATTATGGTCATCATTATCCTCCATCTTGATCAGTTCATTTTCTTTGTTTATTTGTTGTTGAATGTTTGTTTGTTTGTTCGATTTTTTTTTTGTATTTGATCCTTATCAACAGATGTATTCGTACGTATTTTTTTTTCTCATTATTGGCTTAACAAATACGTAGCAAAGCAAAAAACGAAATTTTGCGTGATCTAATTCTTTGGATATATATGTACATATATATATATAAATGATACTCGTCTGTTCTTTTCTCTACTTTTTCTAGAAAACAAAAACAAGCAGGTTCGTCGAACTTTTTCTCCTCCTGAATTTTTCTTTTAGAATGATGATTTGTTTTGGTTTTCTTTTTCGTTTTATCGGAGAATAATCTATCTTTTATACATTTATAGCGTTTACATGCAATGATGTACAATGCAATAACTGATTGATATTTGCACTCTAGATATGAATATTAACGACGTTACCGTCAGTTGGCAGGATATATCAGATACTGAGCGTACAGCATTATTGAATAAACGTAGGTTTATAAATTTTTTTTACATCAATACAAAAATATATTCAGTATAATAATATAAAACTATAGTTTAAATGAATAAGATTTATATGACAAGAGAAAAATTTAAAAAAAGACACAAGATCAATAATTATGATATCTTCATTGGTTTTTTTGAACCTTGTAAATTAATATTTTATCGGGTTAAGATGGCAGTGTTTCTCCAGGGCTTTACGGTTATTGTATGTCTGTGCTTCCAAAAATAGGTGTTATCCCTCGAAGAATTTTAAGTCGTCCTTCTCAAAGAGAAAATCTAAATAAAACACAAGTATTAGTAACCAGCATAAAGTTCGAATGTGTATCTTAGTATTTAAAATATTGATTTCGGATGAATTTATTTTTCCTTTTGGTTTTTTTTTATAGCATGTCCACCACGATCAAAACCCAAAATACATCCAGTATGTTTATTAAATAAATGAATTCTTTCTATACAAACGTAAAACATATTTTTATAGCCACGAAAAACACCCGATCGAATAACTTCTCGTGTCTTCAGTATATGTCAATCTGCGGTAATGAATAATCATACAGCACAACGTCCAGTTCGATTAAATAATCTTAAAAAGTATTGTTTTTTATTTTTATCTTCTTTAAATAAATATGAAAATAATCTTTCTTGTTATTTCTTTGTTTTTTTTTTTAATATTCTTATCAGTCATACAGCATTGACAAGCTCAAAAGAGAATGTTGATAATGCATATCGTACAATGATTGAATTTACTGAAACATTTAAACGAGAATCAACTAATGATGGAAATCCGATGTAAAATTTCTTAAAATAATATTTATTTTATAATTAAATTATTTCCTTTTGTCTTTGCTTTTATTTCTTTTAGTGAAATGCCAATGCCAAAACGTATTCGTTCTTCATCTCCTACATCAACATACGAACAACATTCATCTCCATCAGCTATATCACGTTATATAAGTCATGATAGTTATTTAAAATTTATTCCACCATCATCATCGTCATCATCATCATCTGATCAATGTATAACAACCAATAATAATGCTAATATTGATACAGATATTATTGATGAAGCACTTTGGGATGATTGGGATTTACCATCGACAACAAGTAAAAAAACACCTAGTAAAATTCGAACAATGTCATCACCAGCTGTACATTCACGAACAAAGAAAATTACAGATACAACAACAATTGTTAATGTACTTGAATCAACGAATGCTGCGCAGAGTAAATAAATAAAAATTTTATTTGTTTATTGTCTTCTATTACATACAGTAGAGGACAGAAGTCTCTTCCCCCTTCCCATCCGTAACAGATCTCAGCTACTATAAATACTAGAGATTTGAAAATTTGTGTGTATACATAATTTACTAATAATATAGATCAGAGCCGTCAACTGGACGACTTTCTACATCTATGGAAGCTAAGACCTGCTGGATAGAAGAAAGAAATTTTCTTCACTACTGTATGAATATGACTTTTTTTTTTTCTTTTTTTTAAACAACCGTAGAATCTGTTTCTTTACCACCAGTTACTTCTACTATTGTTTGGGATGATGATGATGCTGATTTTGAACAATTATTAAGTCAATTTCCAACTGAATTACCATCAGAAAAAACACTCGAAGATAATGATTCAATATTAATGACAACATCAAGTATCGATGATGATAATTTAACACGTCTTGATGCTACACGTCGATCATCAGCTATATTAACAAAAGAAAATCAATCATTAGTTCATAATGCAACAAAAATTGAACTATCTAGTCAACCAAATCTTAATCAAAATCGATTATCAAATTCAACTTTACAACGAGCACATACTGGACCATTATCATCACCGATAGCTAGTAAAAATACAATAAAAATAAATTCACCAAGAGTTCGATATGATTCAGCTAGTGTAAATAAAAATAAAACACAATGTACTGAAGCTGAAATCGAACAAAAACGTTTAGCTGCTCTTGCTATTCGACGTCAACGTGAGCAAGAGCAACAACAACAGCAACAACAGAAAAAACGTTAACTGCACGATATACGTATATTTTTCCTTCTTATTTTTTATTTGTCTCGTATTTAGTCAGTCATAAAAGTTTCATATTGAAAGAGAAATTACTTTTCTCTGTACATATTCTTTATGTGTGTGCATTGTGCAGTTGAATAGTTTTCTTTTTTAAGCTTGTCGATACCTTATGTTTTTTGTATGGTTTGTTTAGAATCTCGGATTTGATATTTCTTTTTTTTTTTTTTTGTTGTATTTTGTCTTTCTTTTTTTTTGTCAGATGAAACTTATGATCAGATGTAAACAAGCTGATATAATTATTCTCATTTTTTTTTCTTGAATTAAAGAATCATAAAGGATTTTATGTTTCTTACGATAATAGAAGATACTATAATAAGTAATCCATCATTTATGAATAAGATAAAAGCGTAAATTCTGTTTTTTTTTTTAAATTTTTATGACACTTTAGACAAGTTCGAGTATTGCTCTTGATGAAACACTGTCCTTCATAGAATACATTATTGTTATTAATGAATGAAAAAAAAACAAAATAATAATAATATTTTAATATAAATGATTATTTATTCTAGATGCGAATACGTTTAAAAGAATTCAATGGTGTTGCCGTATGGAAATGGGTAACAAATGATGATTCATGTGGAATATGTCGAATGCCGTTTGATGCATCATGTTCGGAATGTCGTTATCCAGGTGATCAATGTCCAGTATTACATGGTGAATGTCGACATTGTTTTCATGAACATTGCATTATGAAATGGATTAATTCTCAACAAACAAATAAATTATGTCCAATGTGTCGAGGAGAATGGAAAAGTTTGCCTTAAGAACAAAACATTTATTTGTAATTGTGTATTTTTTTGTTGTATTTTGTGAAATTGTAAAAAGAAAAACGAAAAACAAAGAAGGATAAAATCAAATTTAAAAATAAAAAAAAAAGAATAATTGTATTTGAAATGGATTTATGATGCTTGATCATCGGCCACTTGATAATAATTTCGGTGATTTGATAATTGTTTAGATTTTGGATTGAAATAATCTGTTGTTTGAACTTTAACTTGACTTGGTACTTCATCATCAGCCATAACTAATTGACCAAGATGATTTCTTGTCTAAAATTAATATATAAGAAAAAAAAGAAAATAAATAAATACTACTAGAACATAAATTCTACCCATTTTTGTCGTGGATTTTCAAATGTATTATTAACATTATGTCGTCGATGTGTAAATGAAGGTGCACCACCCCCACTTTTACCCCACCAATTATTCATGGCTTCAGAATGCTAAAAATAATTATAAAATTTATTTTAGAAATTCGAAAATAGTACATTTTAATAATTACTTGTAATTCAGCTATGCTATTATGATATCGATTAAGTTTTTGTAATCGTGCACGTTCTTCGGCTTGTTGTACGAGATCATCATGTAATAAACGACTTTCCTCTGATCGATATCGTGTACGTGCACCAGTAAACTTTTAATAAAAAGTTTATATATTAAATATAAAGAAAAAACAAACCATAAAAATAAAAATTAGTTTTCTAAATTATTCATCCACCCGGACTATATTGGTTATTTAAAATTTGTAAAATAAAATTGAACGTGTCGATAATTTTATGACAAAATAAAAACCTAAACTTTTCACTTGATAGATATGGGTGAACAAATAATTTGGAAAGTGCCCTTCGGTTTTTTTTTTGAATGAAAAATACCTCCCGGGTTGGTTCTGTTGTTGGTAAATGTAATTTCAATGGATAACGAGTTCTTTCAAGTTGCGTAATCCATTCAGCCGTATCACCTGCCTATATATATTATAATAGAAAAAGATTTGTTTCGATGTCAATCAATGATAGACTTGATTTATAGATACTGATTTCTCAAGTCGAAGATTATTATTAATTTACGAGGGAACCTTTTCAGATACTCCTAGTCGATTTCAATGATTTTTTGCTTATGGATACTACATCATGTTCTAACCAAAATCCTCAAAAGAATTTAGTTTTTGACTAATGCCGAAACTGTCTAGGATGATACATCGCATTTGAGAAGAGATTCCAGCCATTGTGCAGAGTCGATTGGGAATAGAGGAATTCTTCTGAATTTCTTTTAATCTCAACTGATTCTACTTGATGACGATGGTCTTATCACAAATGCGAAGTGTTACCCCGGTTGGTTCTCTTGTTAGTTAAAAACTAAATCCTTGTAGGGTTTTGATTAGAATACTATGTAATATCTTTAGTCAAAAAAATCACGAATATCTAAACAGAAATATCTAAAGCCATTTCCTCATTAATCATAGTTGTATAAAATTGGTCGACACATTCAAAATTGATTAATATTTGTATGCATTAAATTCAAATATATAATACACATTTTTTTGTTTTGTTTTTTCTTTTTCTAATATATTTACATTAGATCGATGTTCCATTTCTTCTTGTTGACGACGTCTTTGTTCTAATTCAAGTTCACGCTTTTGTTCTTCAATATTTCCTGTGTATTGTTTACCGTAAAAACCAAGTGGACCAACATGATTCTAATAAATACGTATATGTATATATTTAGAGATATAAAATTATCAAACAAGAAAAATTACCAATTTCTCTTGTAAACTACCAGAATATCTTGTAAACTTTTGTCCTGTTGGTGCATGAATTAATGGTGCTCCAGCACCTGGACGTCCCCATGGATCATATAAATCTTGTTGAGGAATTGTATTGAATACATTTTGAGCTTCTTTATTAGGATCTATGTACAGAATTGAAAATATTTAAAAAAAACTTCATGTAAATATTTTCGTTTAATTTACCAAATAAAAGAAAAGGATCATGCGCATCTCCTTTAATTGGTTGAGCAGTACCAATACTTCCTTGTGTAACATTTGTATTCGGCGGATTAGAATTACCATTCTAAAATCAATAAAAGAAATCAATTAGAATCATTTTATAAAATGAATTAATATGATGAAATAAAAAACAGTGTGTTTTTTTTTTTGGAGCGAGATTATAACTTTTTTCATTGTCGACAATATAGAACATTTGGGAATATCGTGATTGTATTAATTGGTTAGAGTACAAGAGATATTCTTTTGAGAATTTCACTAATTTTTGTAGATTACGGTGAGATTAATAAAAAATATATATTCTTATTAGTATTAGAATAGAATATAGAGCTGATTTATTAATATTTAATTGACATGATAGTTTGATTGTTATAATGAATTAGAAAAATATCATTGATTAAAAAGAATATTTTATGATTTCTTTAGATGTGAAGAAAATTTTAAAAAAAAACTGTTCTTGTCTGCTTCTGAATTTCTAATATTAAAGTGCCATGTGTAGGCTAATCTAATATTTCTATGATTAGATTAGATTAGATTAGATGTGTTTATCTTTTTTATTTTGGAAATGATAATCATAGATTTTACTAATAGATGAGTAGTTAAACGAAATTTTTTTTCTATATAGAATATTGTATACATTAACTTACTGGTCCATAAAATCGTTGAAAATCAGGATTATTGTTATTATTGTTATTTGTAGTAGTAGTATTAGTATTTATTGAAGAATTATTTGGTGGCTGTAATTGTGCCTGAGGTTGAGTAGTTGAATAAGTAGGATATTGAGAATAATTATTATACATTGGTTGCCGTGGTGAACCGAACACATTAGACGGGTTACTATCATTGGGGATATATGGTTCTGTCATAAACGGTTGCTGCTGTTGTTGTAGTACTGGCTGTGATGATGGTGATAGTATTGGCGGCGGTGGTGGAGGATGATGAAGAACATATTGCTGAGGCATTTCTAATACGGGTGAAGGAGCACGACCTTTTGTTAAAATTTCTTCTAATTCTTCTTTTTCTAATTTTATATTAATATCATTATTATTTTATTTATAGAAAATGCAATTCTTACTAAGAACAGTTGTATGCTCGTGTCGTCCAAATGGTTGATGCTGAACCTATACAGGTAGTGAAGAATGTATATACGTATTTATATTTGTTTCCCTTAGAGATTTTTTTCTTTTTTAAAGACAAACGAAGGAAAGAAAAAAAAAAGCAGAGAAAAATGCAAATCGTCAAGGCTGCAAAAGTGCTGTTGTCTTCAGTTTAAATCAATTTAAAAAAATACAAAAAGGAAAAAGAAAAACGTTTACTTACGTATTTTTTGTCTCGTTCAATTTTCCTTTCCCATTCACGAGTGATTCTTTGCTGTTTTTCAGCTACTTGCTTGTCTATAAGAAAAAAGAACAAAAAAAAAAAATATATATATATTAAAGCATAAGAAAATAGTAAATCGTTTTTTCTCTCTAACCAAGTGCAATTTTATATTTCATTTTTTGCACATCTTCCGGTGACAATGATCGTAAAACTTGAGGGTTTACTGGTGGTTTTTCCGATGGATTTGAATAAAAACTAAATTCACTTTGACTACCATAATTCGATACAGGAAGATAAAGAGAAGTAGCTCTTGTTGAATTAGCCATTAGCGATTCAGTTGGTTGTAGGCGAGGTGTTTGTAGATAAGAATAGAGACTGTTTTCAATTTGATAGCTATAATGATAAAAAAAAGAAAGCAAAATAATCTTGTAATCTTTATTATAGTTTATTAAAATTTTGATGTTATCAAAATCAATGTGCCTCAAATGTACCAAACATACATATCAACACGTGTTCAAATCCAAAAATGATTTTGTTTTAGTAAAAAAAATTTTAAAATTAGTTTAGATTGTCTCACTTTTACACTGAACCTCTTTTTCTTTCTTCTTCTTCTTCTTCTTAAACAATTATAATCGAATTTATATGAAACGATGCATACGACATAATGTTGTTTTAATAAATTTTGTGAGTAACAATTGAATTTTTCTCAATGAATTTCGTTTCCGTACATAATAATCTAGAAATCAAAAGAAAACAGAAAGAATAATGATTAGTTATATTTTTCTTTTATTACATTAACAAAATGACTGGAGGAGGAAGACCAACTTGAAAAGTAAAGTAAGGACTTTCTTATGGCTTCATTCTTTTACACTTTAATAGACACTTAATTTTAAAATGAGTTTTTACGTCTCTATCAACACATACAATTAACTACCTGAATGATTTATTTTTTTCTCGTTTAACTGTGGTGTATACAAGTATACAATGCTTCGTTGATTTTATTCGATAAATCGATCAAATTGTAGACAGCCAAGGGAAAATTAGAATGTATGTGTATGTGTTAGCAACCAAAAAGAAAAAAATAAAGAAAAAAAGAACGACAATAAAGTAAATTGGCTCTACTTCGGTGCCTTTAACTATTACTTCGGAAAAGGTAAAGAAATGGTATTATAGTCAAGTGACGATTGATCGCACACGAAACATTGTTGCTATTGCTGTTGTTATTAATTTTTTTCTATTGAAACATATAAACAAAATCAAGGTTGGCAAGATCAACAAACAAATACGCCATACAGAAAAAAAAAATATATATATATATATATGTATATTGAAACTTTATTGAGCAAAATCTCTCATAAATATATGTATGTGTATTTAAAATCGAGAGAGAAATATAAATGAATGTTATTGCTTTTTCATTAAATTTTTATATTTTCTATGATGATTTGAGTGATTTTAATAATATTAATGAAGCTAGTTATATTTTTTGGCAATAGTGATAATACAAAAAAAAATAAAAATTTGTGTTTTTTGTCCATAATATACATTTGTGTTCGTGTTATCAAAAATTGGTAGATATGGCTTGGAGTGATGAACAGCTTAATATTAGACGCATCAGTATTAACCGTTCGTAAATGACATAGAAGAAAAAGAAAAAAAAAGACTTGAAGAAACAAGAAGAAAAAAAAAGGAAACGTTTCGTTTCTTGCTTTCACATAAAGACCTATCTTTTTCTTGTATTCTTTATTCTTATTAACGACATTCTTTGTCGATTGTCATTCTGTAGAATCGATGTAGATGTTCTTCAACTAAATAGTATATTATTCTGAAATGATTTGTTGATCGTCAAGTTCGCCATTTATATTCCATGATGTAGTGAGCAATCTTTTCTTTTGTTTATAAGCAAGTTCTAGTTTATTATAAACTTTTGCTCGTGCTTTTTTTTATATTGCTCATTTAGTTTTAGCATATATATAACAAATTGAATTCATAATATGTCTATGATAAAAAGCTCTTAAAAATGAACATATTTTATTTTGTACGATGTGTAAGTATATATATATTTATATTCCCCTGCTCAAAATAAATTACACACCTTATTTTTTCGATTATTTCTTTACAGTATGGTGATTCCATCCAATCTTTATATCACAGATACATGCTCGACTATTCAACTTATTCTGAAAGTTTAAGCCCTATATGATGAGAATTGGTGAAGAGAACTTCTAATATGCTTCCGGCACTCATATGCTACTGAAACCAAATTTTAGTATTTTATTGATTTCTCAGTTGTTTTATATTGCATTTGAGATTTC